CATCTTATACTATGAATAACTAATACAAAGACAACAATATGAAATGTATTAATTATTGTAACTGTCCTAACCTGTTTTGAAACTGTCTCATTGCTATTTGTTTCTCAATAAAATTAATAAACAAACAAACAAATAAACACCAAAGTTAAACAAAAGGAATAAATCTGACTGGCTCACAGAGTTACTTTTAATATGGCCTTATATTAAGAAAATACTATGCTCTTCCAACTGGACTAACAGCAAAGATGAACTGCAAAATTTAGGTAGTTATTACCACAGACTAGCCAAATCAATCTGTTAGCAAATTGTCCTGTTCTTAGCCACCAAGGATGTAATTACCTTAGTCATTTTATTATATATTCTCTGGAGTCTTTCTCAGAAGTGTTATTAAAATTTCAAATACTTTATCCCATGACAAAAGACAGACATTAAAATGTGGTTTTACAATTCCTCCTCTAGAAAATACATTATGTTGATGAGGAGGGGCAGGTGGGAGAGGAGACAGCACAAGACTCTGACCTCGGCGGGACTTACAGGAGCAAGAGGACCGAGTGAGACAAGCAGGCACCTGGATGAGTGCATTGTGGGGGGACATGGAGGCGACATCTACGCGAGAAACAGATCCTGCCTCGCGGCTCAGGCCTGACCCACTTATGCGACAGCCTGAGATACGTTTCTCTGAGTCAACTGCACAGGACAAAACATGGGATCGAGCCGTTGTGGGAGACGCTAGGTGCTATGCCCTGGAACAAGGGCAATGAGTGTTGTTTTAGAGGAATGAGAGACGTGATATGTTGGAAACCGCTGACTCATTGGCATGAGACAGCAAGCTGGATCCAACAGCCAAAGTAATTACAACAAGGAAAAGCTATTTTCAATGTTAGGAAGAAATTTGTAACAGAAGTGTTCAAAAACGGAGGGGGCGAGTCTACCTCTGAACACAGCGAATGGGGAACTGAGAAGACCACACGATCAGGATAATTTAGAGGAGTTTTCTATATTAGATTGAAAGTTGCATTAGATTCCAAGACTATTTTTGAATCTGAACATGAGTCTATGATGTAACAGAGTTATCTTTTGATATGTGTGCTATAAATAGTATCATGATTAAATACCCAACTTTGATGTTAAATTTGATTAACCATCAGTCATCAAGTATATTTTTGCACATATTTAAATTTTTAAGATAAAAAGATGTCTTTCAAGTTAAATTATATTTAACTCAAACCAGCATCTTTGGTTATATACATTTTTTAGGGAAATAATCATCATTTAGAGAAAATTTTATAGACTTAATGCACCTATGGTACATAGAAGGAAAAATTCCAGTTAGCAACTCATTGTGAATGTCAGCACCATTTATAGACATTTCCTGAGTGATCACAGAAAGAAAAGTAAAAGCAGAGAATTCCTTTCAATGAAAATCTTCCTTAAATGATATAGTTTTAAAACTTGGGTCCTCTTGAAAAATTCTGAATATGGAGAACCCTAAATGCTAAATAAATTGAAAGAAGTAATTAGTTATCCACAAGAAGATCCATATGTGTAAATCCAATTTAACAATCTTTGGTCATGCACTCCTTGAAGGAAATTATTCCACTAATAATCTGTCATGTGTCATTCTAAAGTAGGACTTCACAATGTGCAACAAAATGGTTTCTTATGTTGAACTGCAATCTGTCCTCCTATAAATTCCAGCTCATGTCTTTTGGTCCCGTCCCCCCCGCCCCATAGTGTCCTGGAAGAGATTTGCAATCTTACACTTCCATTCTAAATATTGAGGAAAAAATTTTCTAAAGTACTGCATTTCAATTACATTGAGAATTATGATTTTAGAGTGGCATAGCTTCAACCACATATTTAATCATTACATTATGACATTTATTACTTTGAAATATCAAAAAAATAGGCACAGCCCTCTGTGCCAGAACCTTTTCCCAAGTGGCATAGCTGCAGTTAGTCAACCCGAGCGTACATTCAATGGCTTCTCTTAGAATCTGCAAAATGGAACCATGCTGCAGTGTAAGATTACCAGCTGCCCCTGGTAACTGCACTGCTGTGATAAAGACCTCTCTCCTTTCCTTCACCGTCATTAAGTATCAGAGAATCTAGTTAATTTTGATTATGCAAATAACCTTCACATTACTTCATCCCCAGCGCCATAAAAGGAACAGGAAGTGCACCACATTTTAACCCAAGTTTGAAGATTTCTCTAGGAATAGCTATTAATGTCATATGACCTCATTGATCTCATATGTGAAGTTTAATATCTTTATATCTATCCCATATACCTACTTTCAATTTTAAAAGCTATTACAGTGTTCAAACATTTTTAAAAGCATAATGTGATTTAGTATAGCAAGCCAAACACGAATGGAGTTAGAAACACTAAATAGAAAACTTCCATGCAATCAACAGCAATCCATATGATGAACACAACTGTCTTATCTCCTATACTGTCTCCATACTGAAGAATATGATGAAAAGGAAACAGAGTCTAAACAAGAGTCAAAGGGAAGAAACCATAAAAGGATGTTATTTTCTTTTACCTAAACTTAGGGACAGGAAAAATAGCTCCTTTGGATGTCTGAGAAGAGATGAGGAACCATTACTTGTGCGGTAGAAGTGAAGGAAGAGTGAGGCCAGGGTGATGTTGCTCTTAGTGAAGCCACCATGATAGACAAAAGCACAGGTTATGACCAGTGGAGGCACTGGCCTTGTGTGGTTTGGTTTCTAGAAGATTCTGAAGTCAGAACTATTTTCCAAATAAAAGTTCTACAAGGAGATATACAAGTAGAAAGATCAGTTAGTGGAGCCTGGCCTGATACCAACAGCTAAGGTAACAAGAGAAAAAAAAAAAAAAAAAAACCGAAGAGTTCGGAGTTGAGACAGAATATCACTGGGATAGCTGGAGAACACAAAGGTACAGATACAAAGGAATGGCAATGATTAAAAAGATAAAAATCATTAAAAGGTAACCCACAGCAGATTTAACAACTACTGCAGAGTCTGTGCAGGAAGATCCCGACTTAGAAACTTTAGAGTTGCAAACTTTCACAGATACTAATGGACCTTGGATTATAAACATTCATACATGCGAACGGATCTCGGAAGTAGCTCACCTGTCTGCCAGTCACTGTCACAGCTGGTTGCTGTGTGCTCACTGCAGAGTAAAACAGGGGCCCACCAGGATGCTCAGTCATCCTGAGTCCGGAAACAGGAGGAACAGCAGTGAGCGTGTGGAGGGAACTACTGGGAAGCACACAGCAATATGCATTTATACTCCTATCAAAGGTGTGCAAGACTCATTGTGTTGGACTTAAGAATGAATCCAGCTTATTAGCGTTCTCTTGGAATGGAACTTGTTCACTAAGTTGGGTGTTTACTGCATTAGAAAAGGTAGAAAATCAAATGCAGATGGAGACATCAAGGTCTTGACAAAGATATTTCTAGAAACATTACCATAAGTCAATGGCCAATGGTGGAAATCAAGATGGCATGATAATGAAACAATATCAGCAAAGGATTCGATTTTGCTTTAGTTTCTTCTTTCTGGAAGAAAGGAACAATTGCTAGTCAATGATCATATCATTTATTTTAAGCAGACCCTATTCCCAGATGCTTACACTAACAGTTCAGTTAATCCACAGAAAGGTCATTCACTGTCCAAAGTCTTTCTCAGCTTGTTCCGAAAGGCACACATACACACAGAGAAACCTCCAATTTTTTTTTTCTCTTCTTAAACACACATAAATGGCAGTCCACTAAACATGTGCTTATGTGGGAAGGCCACTAATTTGATAGAGTACTCTTTATGTAGCTGTCATCTAATTCGAGATAGTCCCTGATTTTGGAGCTACAAAAAACATTAGTATCTTTTCAATTTTGAAAAATATATTTAAACTTATGTTTGCAAAAATTTACATGGCAAAATAAAAAGACCTTCATTTAGGTATATTTCCATTTAACATTTACTGTACAGTTCAGTAAACTACCTTTGGCTCCAGAGAAGTATAATCTACACATTACCTGAGATCTAAATTAGGGATCTTAAAACCCCAAAAATGCATCTTTCAAACTGTTTAAAGAAACACAGCCTTTTGTGAGGCAGATTTGGGTGAAAACAAGGATGGCTGCTTCTCTTCATCATAGGGGGTGATGACCAAACATCTCAGCGGATGTAGGTTGTGCACACTACCGATACCAAAAGACAGGTCACACCTTAAATTTAGAAAATAATTCACTATGAATAATTTACTGAAGTAGTAAAGCCACAGAGTGCCTTACAGTTGGCATATACTATCAAAGAAAAGTGACATGATACAAATTAAATCTGGAAATTTCATATTGTAGCTCAGATTCGGTAAAGCTTAGGAAATGACCATTTATGTGACCCGAATGTCTAGACCGTCAATTTTACTGGAACCTGGCACTGACGCAGGAAAAGTATTTTAAAACTCCATCTCCAAATCCAAGACTATTATTCAATAGGCTATACGTTGAAAGAAACTCAGAGAGGTGTAATTTAAAGCTACAAAGTACGTGGACAATGTTAATTTACTAAAAAGACCAAAAAATAAGGATATGGTATTACTGAACAGTGACACCAAGTGACATTGAAAGCTAATAGCACAAGCAATTTTTGAAGATTTAACTACCAATGGTGTAATACTGTACGGTACACTCTCAGGGAAGAGTTAAAGCATAAAAAAAGATAAACTGTTCAGTGCATTATTTAGACAAGTGGAGAAACAGACTCCATTTTTCAAAAATTCTGACCAAAACAATGGTAAAAGATAAATGCTAAGAATTTAAAAGAAGCTGACCAATGATTCAAAGGTTGGGGATTCAATAATTTTTACAACTTTAGTGTCAAGGTAAGATCAATACCTTCTTTCATGTCACATAATACAGTATAATTCATTTTTAGTGCCTTGGAGATGTCCCTGTATATAGTCCAAAACTGTGAACTTCGATTTTTTTTTGTTTTTCATAAAGGACTTTTAACATAGACAAAATACTAAGTATTCTGAATTTTCCAAGATTATGTTCAATATAAATTTAGGTAAAATGTATTTTATATTTTAAGTTTCTGGGAACTATTATCCACAGCATACATACATAGTAATTCTGTAACAGCAGGAACATTTTATTTAGTTAAGCTAGAAAGACCTTTTTATCAATCTTCATGGTAAACACATTTATTGCAGGTTACAGGGACTTAAGTAGTTCTAGAATCTCCAAGCATATACTACTTTTAGAAATGATTAGAAAACCATGGGTCCCTGTACTTATTGAACTGGATAACCTGGCAGTAAAATTCAGTTAAGGCTCTGGGCATGGGAGACACTTCCTCCCACTCTGACCTGCTGCTGTGGTAGACCTGCACTTCATCTGTGATTTCATCAGGCGCATAGTCACCCCCTAAGATGTAAATCTTATCCTCAATTCCAATCGCACCTGCATTAAAGCCTGCGCATTCAAAAGATCCTTCCCCCTTCCAAACACAAGTATCTGGACAAAAACTATATACCTTATAAGTAGAAAGGTCACATATATACAGCGTACAGTTTACAGGGACAGCTTTAATTAGTGTGGCATGAAAAAACTGCCCAAACTCTGCCACTAGTTCAGACCACTGATCGGTTATAGCATTATATTTAAAGAAGCAATCAAGAGATGGGTTAAAGGCGTCTGTAATCTCCACTTCTGACCCAAGGACATAAATTACACTTTGGCATGCACTTGCTTCCGGATAATATATGCCCCTAGGTAGAGGGCTAACCGATACCCATTCTTTGGAAAGAGGGTTATAAGATTCAACATCTAAGAGACTTTTAATGTCCTGAGATCCTCTAGTCTTTCCACCTATGACAAACAATTTATTGAGAGCCATAACTGATGTATGCATTGTTCTTGGTGTTTTCATAGTGGATACCAAGAAGAAGTCATTTTTGACTGGACAGTAGCACCAGGTTTGATCAGTGGCGTCATGGTACGTCTCAGCAATGTGAAGCCGAACCTTTCTACCACACTTCCCTTTGCAACCGCCTGTCAGGAATATCTTTTCTCCGTAAGTAGACAAACTAGACCCTGGCAAATCAATCAGCTGTAACTGTGGCAGTATTTTCCATGAATCAGTTTTAATATTATAGCAAAACGTATACTGGTTTTCTCCATTTTCCTCGGTTTTGTGGATGAATATGTATTTTTCAGTTGTGGATGGACGAGCGTCCGGGAAAAGCCCACTAGAACCCTGAACACACTTCATTGCATCCATGATTATGTCAAAACAATTTGTGCTTTTAAGTAAACACTCTTCATTCAGCAGACAGGCTTGAAGCGTCTCTTCCGATAACTGATGCAGCCTTACTTTTGTAAGCAGACGCGGCAAATACTTCTGCCTTGATTCTAAGTTATGTTTAGTCCAGCTAAAGACGACCTTCAGCACCGTCTCTTCTGCAGGAACATTCAGTTCATCTGATTCCAGACATTTCTGTAATACCCCAAAATTGATCTCTAAGAAATCACTAGACTTAAATAATAAAGAAAAGTGACGCTGTACGAAGTAGAGCGCGTGCTCAAACAAACGGGCGCAGCCGTAGCTGTCTGAAAGAGATAGCCAATGTAAACAGTTGACGAGACTGATGCTTTTTATTAAAAAATCACTGCAGGCTTTGGATAGGAAGGAAACTTGGAGAAATGAGGACAACTGGAAGAACATTTCCACATTATCATCTGTTATTTTGGTCTTTCCAGTATAGGCATAATCAAGAAAAGCTTTTACTGCTTTGGAAGACAAATTAGTAATGGTAACACTTCCATCATCTCTTTCTTTCATGTTCACTTCAAACATAGCCCTGAAAAAATAAAGAACACAACAAGAATAAACAGGAATGTTTTATTACATGGCTATATTCAATATCACCTTTATATTGGTTTCCTTTACTCTAAAATGGATTTAAAACAGTTATAAATTATATTTTAATAGCAGTCTAAGAAATTTTAATATATGAAATAATTATGCACATTGTTTATCAGCCCAGTCATATAGCTCCAATATTAAGAATATATATAGTATAGCAGAGACAGTATCTAACCCAAAAACAATTATAAAAGACTGATTTTTTACATATTATTCATAAAATTGGCAAAGTTTTTTAAATTACAGCATTTCCTTATGGGTTAATTAGTATCAACTTTGTCCATAATCACTAAGCTCACTTAAAATATAATTTCTTAGAGCTTAGGATTTTAAATTTTTTTCAAATTAACTTTCAATTTGGCAGTAATACAATATGAACAACGGGGCTTTGTGAGATGCCAGGGTATGTGTGTGGAGAAAGTTACTAAAAAAGACACAGATCTTAAACAAAAGACACATTTTATATGTCATTTTTAAGGAGACGAGAATGCAATCTCATACAACTAACCATAAACAATGCCAGTGTACCAAACCAGTTTTTGTGTTAATAGCCCCTGATGTATGGAGTGCCAGAATTTGAATAATTGGAGATGCCTGAAAGTTCCTCATTGTTAAAATCTATTTTTATTCACATAGCAAAGTTGATAGAATCTAAGACGTTGAGAATTTCTTTGGCTTATTGTAGGTAAGAATATAATAATTTGGAGATGTACGGGCAGGGAATGCAACCAAAACCACTTGTTCTGGTTGAACAATGATTTACATTTGCTTTGATGCTGCTGAAAATCCTGCTGGCAGAGGCGTCCCTGGTGCCCGCCTATCACAGGGAAAAGCCAAGTTACCTAGTTGAGTCTGCTCCAGAAGGGAACTAAGACTACTGATGAAGTGGAGCATCCGACTGAAAACTAAGAGGACCTTCCCAAATAAGGACTACCCTTAGGAAAAATAAGGCTTATAGAGAGCCACCCCATGAGGCTGTTTAATAGTCTCAATACAAAGTCAAATAAATATGGTGACAAAATATCTAAATGTTACATATCATGTACAAGTTTTCAATAATGTTCATCAACTTAGAAATGCTAACTTGTGAAGATAATTGTATTAGTTTCTTAAAACATTATATATTTTAGGGTCCTCTTTGGGGAACACTGAGAGCATGACTGGCACAGCCAGCCCCCTAGGCATCTGCTGCCCCCACTTCTGAGCTGGCTCGCCCTGGGGAGGGGACACGATCACTTCAAAGGACTCATCTGGAAGTGGGGATACAGAATTAACCCTACCTCACTGGGAAACAGAAAAACGTAACTTGAGTTAAGCAATGCAAAGTATTAGCTATTAAAATATTATTACTTGAAGAAAGCAAATTTTTTTCTGCTTCCCATTGTATATTTTAATTTACTATCAACTTCTACATTTTCTGTCAACACACACACAAGATCCTATTTCTGTGTTTTGTAATACTCATCTTCCAAGTATTCAGCTAACATTTATCTGCAATTTATCATGTTGTTATAAAGTGCTTACTATACAACGTGGGGGATTCCTGAAAGCTTATCCCCAATGACTTTACATCTTAATTATAACTTTCATCATCCAAAAACAGTGTAAATCTATCATTCGTTGTGTACTTTTCTGACTTATATTTTCCTCCTAATGTGCCAGCGAGTGCATTTGATCATAATGCAAATATTATGATCCTGGGCCTGCCAAATAGCTCAGTGAATTAAAGCGCCTGCTTAGGCAGACTCAGGGGCCAGCAGTTTGATCCCTGGGCCTGCCCTGCCGGCCCGCCCCCGGGGCACTCTGAGACAGCAACTGAGACTGGGCGTGGTGAAGCACGCCTGTAATCCCAGAATTTGAGAGGCTGTAAACAGGAGGATCGCAAGACGGATCTATGCAGTGAGACCCTCTATACCCTGTTTATCGTGTCCTAAAATACAAAAAAAAAAAAAAAAAAAAAAGGATCTAATTAGTAACTTTTCAAAAGTGTGAATAATTTATCTGTACACATTTTATGTGAAGTTTGCACTCATTTAATAACATTTAAAAGATATGTTTTTTAATTTTTAAAAAGTAGAAAATATAAAAACTATATTGTCCTTTTTCTTTCTTTGTAGTATGGGGGAACTGAACTCTGAGCTATATTCCCAGCTACCTCCACCCTGCCTGCTTTATTTTTTATTTATTTTTTTTAATTTGAAGGCAGGGGTCTTGCTAAATTGCTAAGTTTCCCAAGGTGGGCTTGAACTTGTGATTTTTTCTCCTTCATCCTTATTGTTCTGTTTTAGTAGTAATCTTAAAAATGAAAAACAGAACCATATAAAACTAGGCATAAACTTATCAAGATACTATGAACAAAAACATTTAATTAAAAAAATAATTTCAACTAGTAGAGTAGAAGACTGCAAGTTGAAACACATATATTTAATTAGAATGAGAACATTACAAAGCAATCAAGCTATATGTTCACACCAGATTCTTTCCACTTTTGGCTAGTTTGGAGTAATAATAACCATCTCAGCTAACATTACCTGAGAGCAATGGGCACTGTGCTAATCATAATTTATAACACAACCCTACCAGTTAGGTCATATTTCTATCAGATGAGTGGGGGGAAGACACTGGTTACTAAGAGTAACGCAGTGCAGTATAAGAACGTTTAGGGCCACACTGAGATTTAAAGAATAACTTCAATTCCTTGAGAGAAGAAATACAAAGAACAGATGAATACTTTAGGTTAGTTAGGCAGACAGCTAGCTCAAAACTGCTGTAACCACCCTGTCCTCAGTAAACTGGGCAGCTCCAAGTCACTGCTCCCTTATTCAATGCAAAAAAAACTCTACAGAAACAGATGTTCAACAAGTAGCAGTAATATCAAATTCTGAATTAAATCCCGCTTATAGGACATACACTGAAGACACTATAGGTAAGATCTACTTAGATGGTCATTGAAAAATAGTTCAAATAAGGATTAAAATGGTATAAGTTACATCTTGTTTATAATATTGTCATACTGTTTTTACTAAGTTCATTATAGCGGTTTAAACCCCACATACTTTGCCTCCAAAACTGAAGAGAATGCAAAACAAGATGGAAGTTCTTGGTCTAAGGGACAGTCAGCTGTAATTTTTTTTCCAATTTGTGGATTTTCTTTCACAGCTACAAAAGGAGGTAAACTCAAGGCTTTTATAGGTAAATGGATGCAAGCAGAGACCACACTGGTAAGTGAAATAAGTCACACTTGCACATGCAAACATTGTATTATCTCACTAGTGTAAGAACCTGAAAGAGTAAATGAAATTTGAAAGGTACAATAGAGACTGCGAAAGAGAAAGAATCTGTTAAAAGGGAAAGAACCACTGGGATGGGGGAAAGGAGAAAAGAAAGAAGGAAAAGGCAGGAAAATGATGAAGTTATATATACATACAGGATAGCTTGGACAATTACACTGCTGATTTCTGTTATTCTACAGAAATGAGCAGTTAATGTTTAATTCTTTTCTTCTCCTTTTTATCATTTTTTTCACTACCTATGATTTTGTTTAGTGAAATTCTGATAGTATACAGAATTTATTATAAATATTATAAAATTTATAAAATATTATAAATATTATAAATTTATTATAAAGTATTATGCTATATTCTTTAAGAAGAACTGAGGTTTATCGCACGACGACCGGGAGGGCTGAAGACCAGGGTATCACCAAGACAGACTTGCCTGTCTACTGATCAAGAGGCCCCGCAGCAGGTCAGAATTACCTGGAAACAATTACCAGAGGGCTCAGGGCATGTGTCGACCTTCATCTTGCAGAATTAGAACCCTGCCCTCATCATAGGGAATTCTCACAGAGCCATGACTAGGACATTTCCTGTTGAGTGACCACACGGGTAAGTGGACAAAGTACGTTTAGAACAATTTATATTTTGCTTACCATCAGGGGAATTGGGTATTTTAGGGAATCTTTTTTAGCTAAGAAGTTTTCCCTATTATAGGAGTATCTGCTGAGGAGAGGAGAAAATTTGAAGTCTTTTGACTAAAGAGTCCCTTCTTTGGATAATACACGGATCCAATACTTCACTTTATTTTTCTTTCAGATTCACTTTCTCTGAATTCTGCTTTCAGTTTTGTTTAACTCTTCACTTACTTTGCAACATGTTATAATGTGGGGAATCTCCAAAATCTGCCCCCAGGTAAAAGGAAGTTTTCTTCTACTCCTTAGAACATTTGCTGGGGCAAATGATGCATATACTTTGGGGAAATGCTGGCTTGGGTAGACCCACACTTTCAAAATTGGTAGTGTTCAGTTCTCTGACTTGAAAAACATAAGTTAATTCAGTTCCAATTACTTTTTCTTTAAGAACTGAAAGTTATTATTGGGCCAGGGAGATAGCTTAGCCGCATAATTGCCTGCCTGGCAAGTGCAAGTTCCTGAGTTCGAGCTCCCTACCAATAAATAAAATAAAATAAAATAAAATAAAAATTACTATTGCATGCTCTTATGAAAAAAACTTGAATGTAGTTATATAAAATATGTCAATTATCCATAGCATAAAATCTGAGGCACAGACAAGGTAAAGTACCTGAAAAAATCACTGCAAGCTGCCACCACACAACGATGACATGGGATTATTTCATCTTTTATGATTATTTTGAAATCATAAAAGACATTTTGTTCTCTAAAATTCTGCAGCACACTTAAGATTTTCTGTCCGTGATCTTCGGACACGAGGAAGTTGCTTTTCTTCTCTGATGAAATTCCATTACAAGAGCTTCGTTCGTTGAAATCGTATGAATTATCCATAGCAAATTCCATTTGTTCTTAGAACTAGAATGAAAAAAATCACTGATGTAGTAGAGACCTAAAGAAAATTTCAGACAACAAATTTGCCCTCTTTCTGTCAGTCACGTAAAACTGCTCACTGATAGCTGTCATACTCTGGTGAGTAGGACCGTACTTAGTTATCTTCTTGGCATTAGTAATATATCCCCTTTGAATTTTCAGAAATGTTGAGTTCATTGGAATTAAACAGTATATTATTAATACCTACCATTCATAGCTATATAGTTGCATTAAATAGCATAAGCTACTAATTTTATAAATACATAGCTTGTCAATTCTTGTTGCATGACCCATTAGCATTGTTGTTTCAATGAGCATTATAATAAACATTATTTCTTGAGTAGCTACTTTATAAACCCAGCACATCTTTTTTTTTTTCTCTCTGTCAATCATTTTCTTCGAGCAGCAAATTGAACTATTGATGCTGGAGCACGGACCACATGTTTTCAAACTTAAAACTTTCATAAGAAAATTTGATCAATAAACATCAATATCTGACTATGCTGACTAGTTATGACCTTTACTTAGGAAATAAATGCAAACATTGGTCCAAATTGACCTATCTGAAAGCAGGAAGGAAAACAGCATAAACTTCATTTTTAAAAAGGCTTTTTTTAAACATCAGGAATCCAAGATAACTAAAGGCTAGATAATCATAAATTTCCCAAATTGCAAAGTTGTAGCTAAATGAAAAAAGTTTTATCACCAAATGTAAGGAACTAGAAAATACAGGAAAAGGAGACTGGGAACTAGGGGAGTCCAAGAAATCAGAACACAGGTTCTCCAGTGCATGTGTCTTCCAGCTATCTGCTGCTTTGAAGTCATCCCCAAGCGTAGTGATGTAGACAGTTTACTAACTTTCTGGTTCTGTGGGCTTAGCTCACACGTTTTGCTTGGGGCTTCCAGACAGACACACGCAGGCAGATCGCTAAGGGAGTCACATCAAGGGCTGAGTTAGATGTTCAACATGGTTTCTTCATTCATAGTTCATTGAAAGGTCAGGTAAGGTGACAACAGATGAGAATCAGGGATGATTCAAGAGAGAGGTGGGCAGAAAGTACTTCAGTGGATTTAAGAGAAAATAGTAGGCATAGTTTATATAAATTATTCTTTTAAGGTAGGGGCTGGGAGAGCACATATATCTTAGGAAATTTTGTTATACTTTATTGAAAACTTGAGCATGACAACACGTGGACAGTAAAGACAGGTATGGAGAGAAATTTTGACAGTGAACAATCTAAATTCAGCATCTGTTTTCATATCAGAAAGAATATTTTGGGACCTTTAAGCCAATTCACTGGAGAGTAGTAAAATATGTAAAACTTTCATTCTGAAAATGGGTAAACATTGATAGGCACATAAATTCTGAACTTTTATAGCTGTTTAATGGTGTAAATAGGGGGAAGATACCAAACTTACAGTAAGTCATTTTTACAGTTATTTCATTCAGTTCTCAGAGTGATCACTCAGGACTGATATTAATAAAGCTTTTGCAAAACTGCAAATTGAGCTTCAGGTTACACAACAGACCCAAGAACACAAAATTTGTGGAAACAATTTGGTTTAACTCAACACCTGTGTTCCTTCTGATATCATTCTAACCCTCAATTTTACCATGAAGTGCAAGCGTAGAAGCATCCATAAGACCCCTCAAATGCACCACTCAAAAGATACTGCAACAGTTTAAGATCATCCTGGATACCAACGACACAAATGACAACAACAGTTCACACTTTCTGAGCCAGTAAGGCACGCCAGGTCCAGAAATCAGCTTTCTTTTTGGAACCGGGGATTGAACTCAGGCTGTTGCACTTGCTAAGGAAGCACTTATTCCACTGAGCCATCTCCCTGGCCCAAGAAATCAGCTTTTTGGTTGATGGGACAAAATATCTGATACACAGGAATGAAGGGAGGAGAAGATTATGTTGGCTTACATTTCAGAAGCCTTAGTCTGTGGTCAGGATGCTCTTAGGTAGAACCACCATGGTGGCAAGGCACGACGCAGAAAAGTAGCCCAAGCTACGCATCCAGTAGAGATCAGGGGGAACAGTGTGAGAGAGAAAGGGGCCTGGGGCCAGTGCAGGCCCTAAGGTCAAGACGCCACACTGGGAAGTGTGCGTTAGTAATCCCCTAGTGGCCCTCCAACGAAAAGCTCACAATCACAATTAGTTCTTTTCCCAGCCTATGAGTTTCATAAGGTACTTAATTTAATTCTTATAGCTACAATTCCTACAAAAATAAAGAAATTCCTGCTTTCTCTATTTTTCTACTTTAAAAACCCTACTTCAACATACACGGACACACACACACATCACCATCATAGGATGACAAAATGAGCTGAGAGGGGAAAGCTGAATGGCAAGTGAAATCAGGACCTGAGACACAACAGAGTCGTGAGCTCTTTGAGTGCTCTTTTAGGCTGATATAGTCCAGAACTGAAGAAGCTGGAAACCCTGAAACATCAGTGGACATCGATACAAAAAGCCTCAAGTGAAACTTATTCTCATTAGCCACAGGGCCAAAAACACAAGCAAACTAGCAAGACATAAAAGTTGGAGACAATGACTTCAGCTAACAGCACAATATCATCTTTCGGTTTACACCGACCATCCCTGCAAAGCAGCAGCGAGGGATGTGGAATCGTACTCATAAAAGACTATAAGGACAGGGCCCCATCCTCACCGTCCCAGCTCTGTACTAAGCTGGTGTCAGAGGAAGCGGAATAACTACCAAAACACGTGTGCAGAGGTTATACTCTTAGATACTGTAATGAACCCAAAATGGAATTCTAAATAAAGGTTTAAGTAGCCCATAGAAAGACAGAGAAAACAGAAATAAAAAGAATGAACAAGACGTCAGGGAAATAGCTCAATGGAATAAGTGTTTGCATGGCAAGGGCAAGGTCCTGAGTTCGATCCCTCGTAGCACCAAAAACAAAATAAAAACAAAAAGAATGAACCCAAAACAAAAGACAAATGGTAGGCTTAAATACTCATACAAGTGCACTAAGTGATCTCCATAGATCAGTTAAAAGAGATTACCAAAGTAGGTTTTGAAAACTGATCCAACTTTAGGCTTTGTATAAGTAACTCACTATAAGACTACAAGACAGAGGCTACAAGTAAAAGGATAGAAGAGATATTCTTTTAATTAAATAAAATCATGCATGTAATACTAATTTAAGAGAAAGTGAATGTCAGCAAGAAAAATTTTCATGGATGCAAATAGTGGTAAGCCACCAAAAAGACCCGCATGCAGCAAGAGCAAAGCTTTAAAATGTGAAGCAAAACCTGATACAACTGAAAAGCAAAAATTCACTAATATTTCTGATAACTTTAATACTCCACTCTTCAAAATTAAGTCAACTAAACAAAAAAAAAATCATCAAAGACATAGAAGAATTGAACAACGCTTCAGTCTTTACCTACCAACATGACATGTATTTCTTTTTGATGCTCACAAAATACATATCCAGATTGAGCACATCCTGTTCCACAGAACAAATTTCAAATGAATCAAAACAATTGAAATCACATAAACTTTCTGAACATAATGGAGTCAAATTAAATTAGTCACAACAATAATAAAACTGATGAAAACATACAGCTATTTGAAAGTTAAATATGCTGCTAAATGATCAGAGGCCAGCCTCATGATTAGTTGTAAAATAAATTGAAGTGAAAATAAAACATTAAAATATTTGGGATGCAGCTAAAATAGTACTGAAAGTAAAATTTATAGCACTAAGTATGTACAATACTAAAACTCAATAAGAAAAATATAATTTGAACATCCATCTAATTGCTAAGGAAGTCAAATATATTTAAAGTTTAAAGAAGAATAAAGACCAGTTCTACACAAGTTCTTCTGGAATATAAAAAGGGAACACTTTTCACTAATTTTATGAAATCAGTATTACTATGATACTCCAAAGACAATATAAAACACACACACACACACACACCCTCATGACCATAATATCTCTTACAAATATAAATGCAAAAATATTAGCAAAAAGTATGTATCAGAACATAAAAGGAACTAAATTATGACCAAGTAAGTTGATCCAGGGATGTAAAGCTAATTCAATAGCTGAGTATCAGTCAATGTTTGCCATCATTGCTAAACAAGAAAAACTACATGACTGTATCAATTCACTTAAAAAGCACTTAAGAAAAATGAAATGCCTATTCATTAGAAGAACTCCTAGGGGCGGGCAAGATAGCTCAGCAGACTAGAACGCCTGCGTAGGCAAGCACGGGGATCCCGTCCCCACACACTGCACCAGCCCCACCCCAGGGCAGGCTGAGCTGGCTTCAGAGTCCCGGTGTGGTGGTGCACCCCTGTAATCCCAGTGCTGGGGAGGCTGAAAATAAGAGGATCACTGTGAGTCCAAGCTGGGCAGTGAGACTCTGTAACAATCAAATACATTTAAACAAAAAAAAAAAAAAAAAAAAAAAAGAAAACAGAAAAAGTCCTAGCAAATAAGAAATAGAAGTTAAAGCCCCCCTCGCAAACTTCATAGGGGATATATACAAAAAGCTCCTAGATGACTAACATACTAAATGGCAAAAGATTAAATGCCTTCCCCGTGAAATGAGAAAAACAACAAGGACATCCACAGTCAGTATTATGACTTAACATAGTACTGAAAATTCTAACCAGCGCACTAAAGCAAGAAAATTCATAAAAGGCAACAGCTGAGTATCAATCAATGTTTGCCATCATTGCTAAAGGAGAAAAACGACACGATTGTACCAATTCATTTAAAAAGCACTTAAGAAAAATGAAATACCTATTCATTAGAAGAACTCCTAGGGGCGGGCAAGATAGCTCAGCAGACTAGAACGCCTGCGTAGGCAAGCACGGGGATCCCGTCCCCACAGGCTGCGCCAGCCCCACCCCAGGGCAGGCTGAGCTGGCAAGGAAGAAACAAAAACTGTCTCTTTGTGCAGATGCTAAGAAGTCTACCGAGAAGATCTCAA